CAATTATATTGTGCTTGCTTAAGGGACACAAGCATCGGCGCTAGCAATATATATTGCAGCCGCTAGGTTTACGTCCAGCCATTTCATGGACTTATCACAGACAAATTACATAATAGTCATCAAGAAAAGGAAACATGTACAAAACGTTACATGTATATATATATATATATGTATATATATATATATATATATATATATCAATAAGGTCAATAAAGCGCCTTCATTTGGAGGTGGTGAATTGATAACACGGGGTGGGTCAATGAATCTAGAGGAGTAAAAAACATCAACCTATTGAGGTACTAGGGGGAATCATTCACGAGTAGTTTTCTCATTCTTGAATTCAAACTAATTTACTTTGCTTAGTTTTGTTAATCAATATCATAACTTCTTGTTTAGAAAATATATAGATTCTCGAAGTAATAGTAGACCTAGCGTCACAGGTTGAGAAATATTAGTTAATTCCCTATACTACACCTTTTCATTGGCTATACTTGGCCAATGATTGAGGGAGTAGTTTAGAGCGAGTCAATAATCATAGTGTTTCCCACAAAGTCATATAAGTTAATCAATTTATAAGTTGTAATACACTACTTAAAGGGAAAATCTACTATTTGATTATTGGTGAAGATCTTTGCTATTAGAGAAACTTACCTACTTGATTTATATAGCTGTATATTAGCATGGAGTGTTTTGTAGAAAATATAAAATTATTAATTTTTTAGATGGCTGACAATGGCAGTGAATAATTCTTTTGACTTTTATATGTTCTTATTTCATAACAGTAATTGAAATATATAGAAATTGTCTAGTCTAGTTTGTTAGAAATTTTTGGCTCACACTCGAAAGAGTTGGGTTCAAGTCTCAATAATCAAGATTTCTTTTTATAAAAGATATTTAAGTGTTAATTTGACAATAAAAAAAGTTAACATGCCTAAAATTGAGGAGGATCATGAATTCTTTTATATATGGAAGTAAGAAACTTGAAATGAAAAATATAAAGTTAGTGCTTTTGGTTGAACACCATGCATGAAGCACTAGCAACTGAGCCTTCCCTTGGAGAAGATGATGTATATAGTGTTGTTAAAAAGGGTCAAAATGTTGGCAGTGAGCTTGTAGCATGGTAAACGTCATTTCGACTAAGTGGGAGATTAGTAGCTTAGTTATAACATTTTACACCGTGTCATCTTGTGATTAATCATTTGTAATTACTGCTATTTAGTTGTTTTTAAAGTGTTTAGCTAGGTAGTTTTGCAACTATTTGCTCTTTATCTATATAGACTATATAAATGTTTAACGGGGAATGGAAAAAGTCAATGAATGACAATTCCTAAAACTCTAGTAGGAATTTTCCTCTCTAATCCTTTTCTTTTTGCAAAGAAGTCACGTGTCTTTAAAAAAATTTAAAAACAGATGAAATTATTTGATATATTATTGGATAAAGAATTAAGTTACCTAACCCAAACTAATTACTATCACCACTAGAAATTCAACAAATGTAAATATTAAAGGTTTGTAGGCGTGATTCCCTAAATACAGATAAAAGTAAACCAAATTCCTAAACTATCACACTTATAAAATTTTTCTCCAAAATACCTAAGTTTGGAGTGGTTCGAGTTCGAGGAACTCGAACTACTAACCGGTTCGAGTGTAGGAGACTCGATCTAGTCGCAGATCGATGATATAAGCCTCGAACCATGTGGGGCTGAAGTGGTTCGAGTTTAGTGAACTCGAACCACTCCTTTGAAATTTCCAACAACCTTAACTTTGTGATCGGTTATCCGATCGCAGCAAACTTTTTTTTTATTTCGCATAACTTTTCGTGGACTACAACTTTTATAATAGAAATATTTTCAGTATATATGTGAAAATGTGAAAATTAAAGTTAAAGTTACTCCCAAAACCCCTTATATTAAATATTATTCCTATTTTGAATTTTTATTCTTAGTAAATGTTGTAGTACTCAAAAAATTATGTACAATAAAAAAAAACATTGCGACGTTCGGATCACGGAGCACAAAGTTATGATCCTCTAAAGTTTGGCAAAATCGAAAAATTGCTCGTTTAGAGGTAACAAATGACATTTTCTCGGGGCGAAGGCACGGGAAATTTTTTTTATATATAGGAAATTTCTTCCAAAAGAGCAATATTTTTCCAAACGAGAAATTTTCGGATGACTATCTTCCTAGAAAACGTCATTTGCTACCCATAAACGATAGACCTGGCAATCGGGTCGGGTAATTTCGGGTTGGGAACTTTGGTTACGGGTCGGGTCATGTTTGGTTGGATTATTTTGGGTCAAATATTGACCCAACCCATTCAGTTTCGGGTCGGGTTACAGGTCATTTCGGGTTATGAGCGTTCTCAGAAACAATATCAAACATGCTTCATATTTTCTTAAAGAACACATATATTCAAATATGCATGATAATAGTTTACCTAACACATGTCAATTAACATATTTTCAAATCCTCCCACGCTAATGAAATGAAATATAAACTACGCAAATCGTCAAAAAACAATCATAAGAGTGATACTACTACAAGAAACACATGATATTTGATTATCCTTAAACTCCAAACATGTCATTGAAATCTTTGTGATTTTTATAAACATCTCACCAATTTATGATTGATTTTATCATATTTTGGGAGTAATATATTAAATGGAACGGGTTGAACGGGTTGACCCGCTAACCAACCCAACCCGACCCAAAAATCACGGGTTATCGGGTTCGGGTCATTCGGATTTCGGGTTACAAAAATTTCTAGTTTTTGGGTGATTTCGGGTCAGGTCAACGGGTCGGGTTGTAATTTGCCAGGTCTAATAAACGAGCAAATTTTCGAATTTATCAAACTTTGGAGGATCATAACTTTGTGCTCCGCAATCCGAACGTCGCAAAGTTTTTTTTATTTTGCATACTTTTTTGAGTACTACAACATTTACTAGGAATAAAATTTCAAAATAGGAATAGTTTTTAATATAACGGGTTTTGGGAGTAACTTTAACTTTAATCTTCACATTTTCACATATATTATGAAAATATTTCTATTATAAAAGTTGTAATCCTCTAAAAGTTATGCGAAATAAAAAAAAAGTTTGCTGCGATCGGATAACCGAGCACAAAGTTAAGGTTGTTGAAAATTTCAAAGGAGTGGTTCGAGTTCACATGGTTCGAGACTTATATCATCGATCTACGACTAGATCGAGTCTCCTACTACGGCAAAAAGGTGTTCTTGCAACACTTGGATTGCAACAGTATTTGAAAGTGTTGCATTAACTATATAATGACAACACTTTATTTTTAGGTTACGTATTGGATGGTTTACGCAACTCAAATTGGTTATATGTTGCATTTGCTCTATTATACGCAACACTAATATCATTAACTATTTATTGGTTGTCTATTTATATAGTTTAGGCAACATTTTAACCTAATGGGTTGCAAAAAATTCACCTAACAATTCGTATTTTTATTATTCTTTATATATAAATATCTTGCTAATATAAAGAAACTAAAAAGAGATAAATCCCATAAATAGGGAAGCAGAAGATCCTATGTGATTACCTTTTCAACGAGAGTAAAAGTAGGAAGGACAATTTTGTCTTTACAATTAATTATTTATTCCATATAAAAAAGGTTAATATCAGGATTTGAACCCGGGTCTCTTCAAATAAAGACAACAATCACAACCAATTAGACTAAACAAATTTTTTGTATCTTTTTTAACACAAAACATAAACGAGGTGACACTCTGAAAATCATAGGACTTTTTCATCATGATTAGCAAGCCCACTAAGTCTACCATATGTATTTTTATGGTGATTGATACATCAATTTTCATAGCAGAGTTTTATGTAGTTTCTCAATTCTATAATTACTGCTCTCTCCTTAATTGTCACTAAATGTAAATTGGTAATCGGCCAACATGGAAGAAACTAATTCTATTACTACGTGTTGTGTCCTTGCATTTTCAATTTATTTTTCAATTTGTACTTTTTTGTATTTGTTCTTATCTCTTTCTAACGACCTCTGAAATTCCGTCCACGGTGCAATAGTTTGCTCCCCTTCACTTCACAGTACAAGGCCGCCTTTGAAAATCAATCTTTCGGTCTCTTGGCACTACGATTTTATTCTTGGGGATTTAAACTGGGCAAGTAAAAGATTTCAATTTCGATATCAATCAATGGCAAATAGAATGGAGTTCAATAAATGGAGGTGCCGAAGGAGGATTAAAAATTGAATTTTTAGTTGAAACATACGCCTTGAGATTGAAGATATAGTGGATAAAAATTTATTGTACAACGGAGAGTGGTGGCTATTGGATCTTTAGGTTTATGGTTTTTGAAGCTATGGTGACCTAATTATATCTTAAAACGAGGAATCATCGATTGATTTACTGAAGTAGGTCGGTCGATTCTTTATTCAACCAACTGGAACTGATAGAGAAGGAGTGTCTAATTTTGTTCCTTATTACTTTGATAGAGCCCTAATTTGACGTTTGCTTTAAGTTGTGATGGTCCCCTCTTAGGTGAGTTGTTAGCATATAGTTGACTTGAATCAACAACTCTCTATTTCTTTTTGATGAGTGGAATATTGTTCTTAAAATGAAAGCATTGAACCTTTATGTAGGATTGTGAGGTTTAAAATTTAGTTTCAACCTATCTATGGTCCGTGAGGGAATTTCAGTGAGCTTTTATACTCTATATTTCTTGATTATCAACTAACCAATAGCATTTTACCGGGAACTTAATTATCATTATGAAAATGAGATCAATGATACATTTTTATATTTCTTCAAATTTTCGATCTATATATTCTTTATATACGTATCATCTCGATCGAAGGATTATCAATAAAATTAAACGGGTTGATAGATTTAAACGTAACATAAAAATATAAATAATCAAATATAAATATTCCGACCAACGGGCCGGGTTATAAACTAGTTACCTAATACATTTGTTTCCTTATACAGGCAAAGCAATAAAGCACGTCCCTTTCTATTCTTCTTCTAATTGATATTATACATGCCCTCGCCTTTTCAAACCACGCCGCCAAAGGAAGAAACCCTCGCCGATTACAAAAGTGAAAAAAGCCTTTGTCTTTCAGTCTACCACCATAAGGAAAACCCAATCAGCCTCCCTTCCTCTTCTCTTTTGTGGATCCCAACGGATCTACGAGGAATCCCAATCGGCCATCTCACCGATCGACAAGCTCATCGCACCAACCTGTGTCTCTCCTCTTGTATAATTGCCACGGTACAATGATTCATCAATTGATTTCTCTCTTCTCACGTTTTGGTATATATGTCTAGATTAATACAATTTTTTGGTTTTGATTTGAACCACTTACCAGTATGGTTCTTTCTATTTGATATCCTATAAGACAACTATTGAACATTTATGTTTGACCTGCTGAAAATGAAAATGATTGCAGGCACTAAAGGTATCAGAGGATAAGATTGAGAGAATGGTGAGGAAGGATTCAAGAGAACCGGCGGAGAAGTTTGGCTCATTGCAGCGAAGGAGGGATCCCATGAATACAAGGATATTGAGTAACAAGAAATGGATATAATATGTATCTAACCTTGAAGTAAAGCCTTTGGTAGAACATGTTACCAATGTTTAGTATTGTTAGTAGCAAGATTGGAGTTTAATAATAATATTTTCTGATATGTCATGTTGTCACCGTTGATATTTTTTTGTGATGAATTTTTTTCACAAAATGTTTTTTGTTATGACCAACTAAAATCATCAAATATATATGTTGCATACGTGACAATAAGATTCATCACTAATAGTTGCTTTAGTGATAATCGACCCGACCCCTATACCATAGCTTCAATCTTGTTAAGTGTATTTGTGACATAACTTTGGTCACAAATTACAATTATTTGTGACAATTAAACATGTCAATATTGTAGTTTTGTGTGGACACTAACTTGTCACCAAAACGATTTATATTAACGACAATATGGTCATGAATGTATTAGCATCTGTTATGAACAAAATTGTCACAGTTGAATTTATCGTTTATGACGATTTAGACTCGTCATGGATAAAATTTTGATGTTGCAAAAACTTGTAGAAAATGTTGCCTATATTTCTAAAAATTGTTGCAAAAATTATAAAATGTGTTGCCTATAATGGTGTTGCGTAAGGGGTAAGTATATGAAACCCTTTTTATTTTGGTTACGAAAAATGAAAAAACAGTTGCATATTCCTTTTGCAACCCCCACTATATGCAACCCTAACAAAAGTGTTGCGTTAGGATTTTGTAACTCTTTTTTTACTTTCTGCAACAATTTTATGAGGGTTGCGAGAAGCTATTTTTTCCGTAGTAGTTTGAGTTTTTCAAACTCGAACCACTCCAAACTTAGATATTTTGGGAATTTTTTTTATAATTGTGGTAGTTTAGAAATTTGTTTTAGTTTTATGTGTATTTAGAGAATTATCCCGCACCCAATACGTTCCTTCAGTGATTCATAAAAGTTTGTAGACACGTAATGATCACCTAGACTTGCTCTATGATTTTCTCAGCAGATTAACAAGATTATCTTCAAATAATAGGTGAATTAAACTCGGAGCCCCTCGCACAAAGGTGGGTTGGTTGATCTTTGTTTTCCCTTGTTCACAACTTCATAAATTGGGTTATTTAAGCGTTGAATGCACAATCTAAAAAGGTAGCATGAGAGGGGTCACCTCTACCGTAAGCCACAAGTGTGCTTGAAATTTTCAGTGGTATTATCGTCTATAAGTACCTCAAAGGAGAGCGATGTATACAACACATGACCACTTGGATGAAATGGTTTGAGAAACCAGATGCTACCATCGTACTCCCAAAAAACTTTTGATGATGGTTCAATTGAGGATACAAAGGGCCTTGTTCCTCCTAAACTTCCTTTCCAGCCTTAAGAATGGAATCAAATCCTAGAAACCTATGTGAACATGGAACAGTTCATGCAGTCTTAGTAATTCCAACAAGAGTCACCGTACTCTAATATGGTTTCACATTGAACACCAACACAAGTCCAGGGGCGGACCCATGGAGGTTTAGGGGTGTCCCCGGACACCCCTAAATTTTGGGAAAATGATTATCCAACCCCCGGTGGTAATTTACGAATGGATAAAAAAAAATATAATTGATAGTGAGGGACACCCCTTAAATTTGAAAAAATGATTATCCTACTGTCATTTGTGTATAGGAATATAAGTGGTAGGTTGGATAATTTAAATCTAGAACACTATTATTATTAATAAACTTAATTTTCGTTGAGCTAAACTCATTTGTTGTTCGATTTTGAACAATGTGTAATAGTAAAATGGCATTCCCTATCTCTAATTATTTTAAAAACCTAACAATTAAACTAATTTCAAACTACCCTTAATTTGTATTGATTTTATGATTGTACGACAAATGTTGAAAGAGTCTTTCAGCTTTGGGTTACATCAAGAACAAGTTTACAAATAGAATATGCGATAAGTTCGTGAATGATTGTCTAGTAGTGTATATAGAGACAATTTTTTTAAACACTATAGACACCAAGTGTATTCTACAATTAGTTCCGAATATGAAAACACATCATGGACTTTTTTAACCTCTACGAGTAAGGTATTTTCATATTTACAATTTTATTTTTATTAATTAATTAATTTTATTTAATTTATTTTTTAAAAAAGGACACCCCTATAAAAAATTTCTAGGTCCGCCACCGAACACAACCATCCTTTGTCTACATTAGTCCTTCTCTTGCTGTTGTCGACCAGATTGTATGTTCTATCACATAAATGGATCCTAGATACTGGTGTTACCGACCAGATTGTATTTTCTATCACATATCTCGCTCTCTACAGGATAGTCCTCTATATGTGTGTTCATCTTCCCGTTGGTGATAAAGTCTTAGTCACACATATTGGACAATGTAACCTTTTTGAATCACTTTATTTACTAGATGTTCTTCTATTACGTAGCTTCACTTTTAATTTAGTACTAGGTAGCGATGCCGCGCCTTGGCGCGGAGAAGATGACATATGAGCATGTATTATGTGATCCGTTATGATGTTTTGTTAGTATTATTAGTCTAAAATTAATTTTTTGTTAGCATTTTTGTTAGTAATATTGACTTGACATTATGATATTGACTAAGAAGAGAATCAAGATATATATGGCGGTCAATATCCAATTTAAAAAAAAATAAAATTTAGGCTAATAAATGATATTTACCTAAACAAAGTAGACCCATTGATTATGGGTAGGATATGAGTGACATATATATGGGTTTGGAAGTTTGTAGATGGGTTTGGGTAGGGTGTGGATATTTACTTCCATAATCTTAATGTGCATGAGTTGAGTATGGATACCCATTTATTCGAGGATATTTTAATTACACATACAAAAATTAGACCTATTTGTAGAACTTCAAAAGTTTAGGTACCAAAATGTAATACATAAATATTTTACGTACTAAAATGTAGTGTTTCAACAATATTTTGAGGACTTCTATGCTAAAAAAAATAAATTTATGTTGTAAATCTAAATATCTATTAAGTTTAGATACCGAACTTTAATTTGCGTAGTTGAGGATTAATTCCTTTTATGGTGATGTATTTACGATGAAAATTATTTAATTTTTTATAGAAAAATGGAAACTATTTATTTGATATGTGTAGATACCTAGTCAAACATTCCATGTAATTGTAGAAAATTCTAGCCCGGGTGAAAAAAGAAAAACTCTAGAGAGAAGCAAAATGAATACAAACTTGAACTCGTTTAAAATTTCAAGTCTTCAAATACCATAGTGGGAAATGACGATTTTCTAATAAGTAATAACCATATTTTTTTTTTACTTGGACTCGACATAAAAATAGTATACTAATTAGGGTTAGACGAAGAAAGCAAAGAAAGAAATAAAGAAAGGGCTATGGAAGGCGAGTGAAAAATGAAACGAAGAGGAAGTAGATGATGGATAAGTTTTGACCAATTCTTTTAGTTGGATGTCAATACAACAGTCAATCCTTTTCCCCATGAAAATTTATTGACACTTGCTTATTTAGATGTCTAGGGGTGTGCAATGGTCCGGTCCAAGATCAGACCGAGTATAATGCGTCCGGACCTTGGTCCACATGAATTTTATAATTACTGAAGTAATGATGGATCGAACTGATATTTGGACCAAACCGAACTGAATTGAACCAAATGGACCGAATGCAATGTTGGTCCGGTCCTTGGTCCTAAGATGTCTTTTCACTAATGGTTGGTTCGGACCAGTGCAGTCAAAATCACACATTAAAACATAAAAACTTACGTTTTTACGTATCCAGGCCACCAAAACTTTTCAGTTTCTATCTAAATTCGCTTAGTCACAAAAACTGGTAAAAACAAGGGTAAAATCGGTAAAATCGCTTAAAATCGGTAAAATCGCGATTCTCAAGCGTTTTTATACGATTTTGATAAACTCATGAAAGTGTGCTAATTGGCCCAAACTGATGTAATTTTTGAGACATATCAGCAAAAAATAAAAAAAGGAAAACATGATTCATCACTCGTTCTACAACTAGTGTCGAGATAGTGGCTTCATATTAGGTTGAAAAGACACATAATGGTATTCTCAACAGCCGCTGACCTTCTATCAGCCTTCTCCCTTAATCTTCACTTGTGGCTCTTACCTGGGTTACGATACAAAGTTTATGGGTAATTGATCGTATGTAATTATATAAACTCAAACTAGCTTATGAGAATTTGGATTCTCTAGCTCGTTTACGGGTTACGATCTACATTTATGAGCTTATTATTAAGATGTTCTGAGTTTTCTCTACTTTTGAGTCAACACAAATTAGTTTATGTGTTAGATATTACATTTCAATTATGAATTTCATGTAATTATTCACTTATATAAAATCTACACACTCACATTTTACATACTATATGTTGTACTTAACATATTTTAGCTATTTTAGAGGGTGCGTCAAAAACTTACGCTTTTACGCTTTGATTCTACGTTTTACGATTTTACCTATTTTCCGCTTCTAGGCAGAATCGTGCTTTTAACTGCATTGGTTCGGACCGAACCGAACCGTTGCACACTCCTATAGGTTTCACATATTTTTGTACATGTAGTTAGTATAAGTTTGTTTAGTACCCGTAAATGTACTAAATGAGTTTATAAATTTGCTCTTACAATTTTTAGAGTTGTCTCTCTTTTATCATTTATTAATATTTTACGTAATGAGTAATTATAAAATGATCGAATCTTCTCCTACAATTGAGTGATACAACATCTTGTATGATACAAACTAAATTTATACCTTTATGTTATGGTGGATTTGATTCATGGATTGGTTTAAAAGGATTGGTGGATTGGACCCATGGATTCAAGCGAAATCTAGACATTGGACCAATTGTAGGTACCAAAATGTCATAAAATATAGTTATAAAAATATAATTATTCAATGATTTTACATTAAAATTAAATTTGGGGTATTAAAATGTAATATGTTATAGGGACTAATTTGTAATTTGTTTTGTCAACAGTAAAACTACTCTGGCTTTATATATAAGAATTTGTGAGCAAGTTAACAACTAAGGTTACTATTGAACTGACTTTTGTCTGTTCTTGTTGCTTCTTATATGACCTACAATACTTGAGGACGGCTGATATAGCTAATCTATCTAATGGCT